TCTACTCCATTATGACTTTATGGGATCATCCTTGCACATGATAGAAATGTTATGTGACATGTGACATGTGACTGTGTGTGTGTGTGTATGAATGCATGCATATGAAGGATTACTAAATGTTCATGGCAAACACTTATGAAAAAGCTTTGCATGGATTTAAAAATTCTTTGTACCAAAATAAGCTTATCTTTTATTTATTTTTGCCTGTGTTTTATTATTGATTTTTTTCAAAATTTTGTTTTAAAAGTATTTTTATAAGATTTATTTTATTTATTTGAAAGACAGAGTTACAGAGAGAGGTAGAGACAGAGAGAGAGATCTTCCATCTACTGGTTCACTCCTCAGTTGGCCACAATGGCTGGAGCTGCGCCTGTCTTAAGCCAGGAGCCAGGAGCTTCTTCCAGGTCTCCCACATGGGTACAGGGGCCTAAGGAATTGGGCCATCTTCTACTGCTTTCCCAGGCCATAGCAGAGAGCTGGACTGGAAGAGGGGCAGCTGGGACTAGAACTGACGCCGATGTGGGATGCCAGTGCCGCAGGCAGAGGATTAACCTACTGCGCCATGGCACAGGCCCCTATCTCTTAAAATGTTTAACATGTCTTTATGAATAAAACATCCCAAATCCTATCTTCTAGTTTTTTAAAAAGAAAAAAATGCCATAAATTACCATTATGTATCTCCATCCTATTGTGCAATAGAATCCTAGAACTTTTATCCTCATCTAGCCATAACCCAATACTCATTAATCACTGTTTTCCAATCCTCCAACAGGTTTTTTTTTTTTTTTTGACAGGCAAAGTTAGACAGAGAGAGAGAGAGAGAGAGAGACAGAGAGAGACAGAGAGAAAGGTCTTCCTTTTTCCGTTGGTTCACCCCTCAAATGGCTGCTATGGCTGGCGTGCTGCGACTGGCGTGTTGTGCTAATCCGAAGCCAGGAGCCAGGTGCTTCTCCTGGTCTCCCATGCAGGTGCAGGGCCCAAGGACCTGGGCCACCCTCCACTGCACTCCCAGGCCACAGCAGAGAGCTAGACTGGAAGAGGAGTAACTGGGACAGAATCCGGAGCCCCAACTAGAACTAGAACCCGGGGTGCCGGCGCCACAGGCGGATCCACCAGCTTTTTTAAAAATTTCTTTCCAGGAACTTTTTGAAGTTGCTTCATCTGTCTGTCTATCTATCTATCTATCTATCTATCTATCTATCTATCTATCATCTAGGTGGTTGGTTGTTAGTCGAAAATTGTAGATTGACAAACCAGGGCCAATAGGCACCATGGTTTTTCATATTTTTAAAAAAGATTTAAAAAATGCAACAGAGAATATGATCCACAAAGTCTAAAATATTTATTATCTGGCCCTTTACAGAGAACACACCTGATCCCTGAAGTAAGTGGAAAACATCAATAGAGGAGTATACACGTTTTTCACTTTCACCAAGAAATGCATTGTTTTCTCTTAGAGTATCAATCTTCACTTATAGTATCAAACCTCACAGGCATTCTAGAAATAGACTGTGAAGCCACCCTGGGCAGAATCTGTAGCAGCTGATGGATGCAAGGTGCATCTGAGCCAGAGCTGCTGCCTGTGGCCTTGTTTGTGCTGTTGCTGTCACTCCTCTGGACCTCCTCACTCTCAACACCATCCCCCAGTTTTCTGCACACTTTTTCATTTTGGCTCATTGGCCAAATGACTATTCCACTCAAATTTCCCTGTGAGTGAGAGGTGTTACCTAGTTCTCCTTTTGCCTTTTTCCACTTTCTAAGGCTCCTCTTCTCTGACCCCTCTTCCTGCCTTCTCTCACCATATCTCAGCCTGTTGAGACAGATGCCTTCCAAATCTAAGATTTCTACTCTTAAATTTTACTTACTCTGTCCAGGCCCAGTTTTCTCGCTGATTTCAAAGTGGGCCCAGTTCTGCCACTTGAACAAGGTTTCAGCACAGAGAGGCCTGTTGGTATCCTCCCTTACCTGATTATTTTTCTGAGCAGTGCAATTACCCTTTTAGACATTGCTTGTATGCAACCTTCATTGTGTTTACCTGGTAAGCACATCACCTGGTATAATTTCCTTCTCATGGACTGCCTGGCCACCTGCCTTCACTTATGACCACAGAAGTTTTCCACATCTACCACTCTGACCAACTCACTCCAGTGGATCTCTGATTGCCTTGGGATCCAACACACATTTGTAACCAGAGCCATCACAGCACTCAACTTCTGATCCATTTTTTTTTTTTTGCATTCCAGTCCAGCTTGCAGAAGCCCTAGTTTCCTGCCTATGATTCCCTGTCCACTCAACACAATTTATCTCACATTGACTCCACCAGATAATATACCAGGTTCTGGGGTATTCAGTGATGTCCAAGATGCAGCCTAGCTCTCAGAATTTTATGATGGGGGAAGATACTAAGCACACACATGAACACAGAGCAAAGAAATAGGTGGCAGGTGATTTAAAAAGTCACTAAATATCATCAGAGCAAAGAGGGAAATATTTAAAAGTAAACTCTATAACAATAAAAATTCCCAACTACCTCACGAGAATATTACTAAATCTAACAAATGGGCTCATTAAAGGCTATTTGATTCTGGTTTTCATCAGCTTTTTAATAAATGGTTAGAGACTAAACTTCCAGTAAGCTATTAAAAGTGATTTACTTTCTTTGATGTACTATCTTATTTAAACCGACACATTATCTTGCCTCTAGCAATGTCTGTGAGCATTGTAGTTCCATAAACAAATGCAGTCTGATGATTCTAGTGCAGAAGACATCCTCCTTTGTAAACACCACTATTCCTTATTAGAAACCACACTGACTCCTCCTCCCAAACCCTGAAGTGCATGGAATGGTGGGTTGCAAGTGGTGCTGTTCACTCAGTCCATGTTGGCTGGTAGGTTTATCTGTTAGACCAGGTTTTGAGAGGTTGTCAGTTACAAGAGATGTTTCTTAGATAATTTATATCTGGGCACCATTCACATTTCTCTCTCCCTTCTCAGGCCTAGTATGTCTCCCTTCTGGCTTCCATTCTCCCAGGTACATATATCCCACTTTTGGGAAAACCTAGCGAGGACGTGCTTCTCTGGAGGTTATCAGCTTGAAGAACATTGACCTGCAAGGAGAACTCAGGGGAGTCTGCAGTGTTCCCCAGCCTGTCCCAAGTGTGAGTCCTGATGACGTGCACCATCACTCATTGATGCATTCATCACATCTCCCTGGAGCTCTCCCTGGGCCTCCGGCTCAGCGCTGGGGCCTAGGGACACAACGTGGAGCGGGATACAATGGTGACCATCAAGAAAGACTATTGCTACCTTCATAGTGGGGAAGTAGCATCCATCACAAATAAACATGTGATATAAGCACCCCAGTGCTGAAACAGAAAGGAAGAGCCCAGATTAGTATTTGACTCCCTAACAGCTCGGTAATCTTGGGTCTCTGTGTGTATATGTCTGCCTGTCTTTGTCCCTCTCTTCCTGTTTGTTAAGCAGGGGTGGAGATGGTGAGCAGTTAGTCCTGTCATGGTCATGGTGCTTGACACCCTCATTCTTTCTTTTATTTTTTATTAAGATTTATTTATTTACTTAGTTGAAAGGCTGTGTGACAGAAATAGAGGGGGGGGGATCCTCCATCCACAGGTTCACTCCCGAAATTCTGGCAACAGCCAGGAGCTTCCTTCCGGTCTCCCACGTGGGTCCAAACGCATAGGCATGGGCCATCTTCCACTGCTTTCCCAGGCACATTAGCAGGGAGTTGGATTGGAAGTGGAGCAGCAGGGACACGAACTGACACCCATATGGGATGGCATTGCAGGCCGCGTGGCCTTACCCACTAGCCCGCAACGTCGGTCCCATCTCATTCTTTATTTTATTCAGGAAAGTCTCCATACCCTTTACCCCAGCCTCCAAATCGATGCTATTATCTCCATTTTAAATACAAATAACGGAATCATGACACTGTTATTCCCCAGGCTATCACTGGGAGGGTGGATAAACGAATGTTTGTCTTATGGGACTGTGGGGGCAGAAATATGCTGCAGCCGGATTTTAAGCCCCCAGATTCGGTGACTACTAAGCCACCTAATTCAGGGACCCTAGACTTCCTTTTCCTTTCCTTTCTTTTTTAATAGCAGAAAAGAGAGAATCCCCCCTTTTCTCTGTAGAAGGCAGAACTGGATCTCAAAAATAGCAACGAGTCCTCCTAAATCTGTGCCAACCCCCCACAGTTGACAAACGACGGATTTCCCAAGATAGCTGCCACACACTCAGTATCTAATCTCCATATTTCCTCCTCGGGTACGCCCAGTCCCTCTTTCGGAACTTTTGCGCAAACACCTTCCGGCTTCAAAGCCCCCGAGCACAGACCGGGGGACACCAGTCAGGCGCAGTGGCCCGCGCGGGGTCTCCCGGGGCTCGTGCCCGCCGCGCGCAAACGCGTTGCCCCGCCCTCGCCCCACGCGCACCTGCCGAGCCGCGGGCGGGGCCGCGCTATTTTTACCTCCCCAGCTGCAACCTTTTATATTTATTTGTAGGACGGAAATAAATAAAGGATGAAGGAAGTGCTTGTCCTTGTTTTTTTTTTTTTTTTTCTCCCCTGAGCAGGACAGGGATGGAATATGCGAGGTCTGGGGTGGTGGAAAACGCAGGTGAATGTCTTCGGCTAATTGCATTCTCCCTACCATGCCTGTCGCGGCTCCGAGAGCCCCGCACTCCCCCTTCATGCCCTCTGGCTCCCCTACCCCACCCCTTCTTCGGCGGTGCTGCCGTCCCATCTGATGCTGCTTGGGATGCTGCATCACCCTGCCGCTTTGCCTCCCTGGTCCCACAACCGGGCATGCGCAGCGCGTTCCGTGCCGGCGGCCGCAACAGCAGCAGCAGCCGCTGCAGCAGCAGCATCAGCACTCGGAGCCCGGTCGGGCGCGCTCCCGGGGGGCGGGGCGCACGCCCGCCCCGCGCGCCCCCGCGCCGCTCGCTCCCGCGCGCCGCCTCAGCATCCTCAGGCCCGGCAGCAGCCCCCGCAGTCGCTGGAGTGGCCGCGCCCGCCGCGGGGAGGGAGCAGCCCCTGGGGAGGCTCCAAGTTGGCGGAGCGGCGAGGACCCCCGGACTCCTCGGAGGCTTGCCCCGGGAGGGGCTGAGAGGCGAGGCGGGGAGGGGGCGCCGCGCATCCCCGAGTCCCCAACCCCCGCTCCCAGCCCGCGGCGGCACCATGCGCGCCCAGCGAGCGTGACCGGCTCCGCCCGCAGCCGGCCCGCAGCCCAGCCCGGCGCTCTCGCCGGCCACACCAAGCGGCGCCCGGGAGCTATGAGCCATGAAGCCGCCCGGCAGCAGCTCCCGGCGGCCGCCCCTGGCGGGCTGCAGCCTAGCCGGCGCCTGCGGCGGCCCCACCGGCCCGGTGCCTGCCCGCGCCCCGGCCCGCGCGCCGCCCTGCCGCCTGCTCCTCGTCCTTTTCCTGCTGCCTCCGCTCGCCGCCTCGTCCCGGCCCCGCACCTGGGGGGCTACTGCTCCCAGCGGTGGGTATGGCCCCGTGCCTTTTGCATTGCCTTTCCCGGTGGGGCCCTGCAGGGGAAAGCGAAGGGCATGCGGCTCGGTGCGCTCCGGACACGTCCTCGACCCGGCCTCTCCGTGTTCTCCCTGCCTGCCTCTCCACCCTTCTCATTCCCAAACCCCCATTCATTCCAGTTCACTTTTGGAAGTCCGTTTCTGTTGAATTCACCCCAAACCTGTCCAGTTACTGTCGGTTCCACTGGGAGGTATTTAGTGGATCCTTTAGCGATCTTGAGGCAACTTGCGGAGGGGAAGCCAGTAGGTGGGAAATGGAGAGAGGGAGCAAGTTGCTTCTTGGGTGCTGGAGCCTTCATGTGAATGCGGGGCTCGGGCGGGGGGGAGGGGCTGTATGAGGATACAAGAGGGGAAGGGGTCCTCTTCCCAGATCTCCGACCTGGGCTATCCACTGCTGTTGGAAGTAAGGTGGGGGAGGCATGCCTCGGGGACCAAAGCCCTGAAGTGCAGAAGACACTGTGCACGACCTTTGGGTTGGGGTTTCTCAATACTTGTCTTGATGATGAACAGTACAGTAATGCAGTGTCCAGTCCATCGATGGTTGGGAATCACTGAAAGCGGGAAGCCTGCTTAGGAAGGAAAATAAGAAACTGGAAAATTGCCAGCCTCTGTATCCCTCTAAGGCAAAGAATTTGCTCATCTTAAAGTTAAAAGGGACCCGGACCATTTTGTCAAAAGAATCAATTGACATTCCATGTGCATGAATTCAGCGCTCAAGCCATGTTCGGAGCGGCCCCGGCTCTCAGATGGGATGCCAGCAGGCAGAGCACAGTTGAGTCTCTGTAGGCTCAGAGAAGGGCCGCACAGGGGGTCAGGACCTCAGAGCGTGTTCATCTCCTGACTCTCCCCTCCATACTTAGAAGTGTAGATTTGAGCCTGACTAGAACATGTATCTGTAAGTCAGAACAGTAACATTGCGTGGTTGTTTAAGCCTTATTGGCTAGCCCCCTAGCCAGGCCTTTCCGTTGCTGCAATAGCTTGCTCTACTCTGTCTCCTCTTGTTACCTGCTTATAAATAGAAAACTTTGTTTTGTAATTAATGGAAAAATGTGGTTTTGAACTTATGCATTGATGGGGTATATGTGTGTGTGTGTGTCTATGTTTGTGTTTCTTGCCTCTCCAGCTCCGCATTGGAATGAAACTGCAGAAAAAAATTTGGGAGTCCTGGCAGATGAAGACAATTCATTGCAACAGAATAGCAGCAGTAATATCAGTTACAGCAATGCAATGCAGAAAGAAATCACACTGCCTTCAAGACTCGTATATTACATCAACCAAGATTCAGAAAGCCCTTACCATGTTCTTGATACAAAGGCAAGACACCAGCAAAAACATAACAAGGTAGGCAGGAGGCGGGGTGTGCCAAAGTAGCTGCCATGAAGAGTTTCCCTTTGATTTGATTTCCTGCCAGAATCTGATTTCACAACTGTACTGCAGCACTTTATTCACAAAGCGATGACTATTACCATAGAGGAGAAACTGGAGGGAATTGACTGGGGATCTATTTTGATAGGACTGCTATTAGTTTCTCTGCTCTGACAAAACCCAAGCTGGGATTTTCTGATGCCCTTATGAGCTGAGCGGCTGAAACATCAGGTGCACCGGGCACTGAACAGTAGTTAAGTGAACCTGTCTAGGGCCCTGACTTGTTTCTGTGGGGCTTTATGTAAGGGTGCAGTATTCCATTGCCCAGGACTGTTGCAGACTGCTTTCAGTCTGCACACAGAGATTGCTGTAAGAGGCTGTTTGGGTGTACTTTTCCCATTAGTTTTTCTACTTTGAAATCGAGTATTTAAATTAAAAACTCTCTTTCTATCTTAAATGGATCATTAGAAAAAAGCATTTTTCCTGTTACATTTTTAGTAGGTAAACAGTTTGACATTTTAAAAGATTATGGTGAATAAAAACAAATTGCAAAATACGAAGGCCAGTTTTGGTTGGCATTGTCCTTCAGTACTTAATGTGCATTCACTGTGAGCAGTTGCTTTACTTTTAAGTTGGTTCAGAAGGTGGCACTGATTTTTAAAAACATATTCAATGGAAAACCAAGATGCTCAATAATGAAAATGTTTTAAGAAATGTTTTTTCCTGTTTAATATTCTTTATTTGAATCAGTATTTTGCACCCCAAACATGCTGACATAATATATTATGATTTCTTCTGTTCTTTATTAGGAGAAGAAAATAGAGTCTGTATGTTGCATGTTTCACTTTGAACTCTACCTGTTCTGTTGAGAACAGCAGTAACTGTCTATACATTGAGACTATGAGAAAAGTGTTTGAAGTTTGCGTCATTGTTTGGTTAATTTTCTAAAATATAAGTAACTGCTAACAGTATTTATGTCCAGTTTTCAAGTGGAGAGATAGAAATGTAAGGCTTTTAGGTGACTTCCCCAAGGTTTAGAGCAGCTAACCTAAAACTTAGGAAGCCTGAATATTTAATTTTTACTATGCTTTTACAAGTCAGGTGTCTGTTCCCCATTAGTGTGAAGTGGCTGCTGCCCACCTCTGTTCTCTGCCAGACCCTTTCTCCATGAGCTCCTACGTATCTTAGTGGGTGGGGTCTTAATGTAGATCACGTCTATCCTTTTGTCTTATTGATAGAAGGCACAATTGTTGTCCTTAAGGAAGAAAAGTCCAAGGTCCTCGTGATAAAGTGAATTGGGATCTGCTTTATAGCTTTTCATATGAGCAAGGCCTTTGATGGGGAACCGGCTAGTTCTCCAGCGCCTGTGCCCTTACTTGGGGTGCTGGAGGAAGAACAAAAGTTTGCCTCAAGGTTGTATTTCAGAGAATTCTCAAGCCTTTCCCAGCTGAGACTCGACAGAAATTTCAGGGAAATTTCTTTATAGCTCAGGTGTTGGAGGGTGTGACTAGTGCTTGCCTTATAATCTAACTGTATATGGCTGTTGTGTTTGGTGGGCCATGGTGTGACTACCATATAGCTGACTTCCTATGATAAGCAGTGTTGTGAAACCTTTATCCATTATGTAGAGGAATAGGTTTATCACTGTGGAACACCCACTTGCACTTGGAATGATTCAACCTTCCCCACTCTCACCTTCAGAAACTCATGGTAGATGAGTTTCTTTTAATATTTTGAAAAGAATGTTAACACAGGAATTATATTTGAAAGCATTTTCTTCTTTTCTGATTAGGTTAATTCAGTGCACATTTGTTGATCATTTCTCATGTGGAAGGCTTTATGCTAAGGATTCAAAGATGAGAGATAAGCATGATCTGTCCTCCTAGAGGTACAAAAATGAGATCAATTAGATTCTAAAAAGTACTCCTGCTCAGGTACAAGCTGTGTTATTTTTATTTGGTGGATGTCCTGAAATTTCTCTTTGTGTAGTGCGATTTCCTCTGTGCTTCTGTTTTTAAGCATCGTTTGAACTAGTTGACAAAAATGTTCCATATGCCTTCTGCTCTGTCTTAGGATGACTTGCCTAATAACAGCAAGGAAAAACACACTTGTCGGTTCAGTTGCTTTACAAATGTTTCATTGAGAAAAAGTATACAATTTCATAACATTTGCTTTAACAAAAAGAAGTTTTGATTTTGTTTGAGTGTCTTGGACCTCCCTACCCCTTCCCCCACCCCCTCCCCTGATTTCCCTGCATGGAGGCTCATTTTAATGAGTGCTATAGAAATGCTGAATCACTGTGTCACTCTCCTGGATCCCTAGATTGGGGTAGAAGTGCAGAAGGGAGTTCCCAAATATAGGTTGCAAGGCTGAGCTCCACAGTTATGGCTGGAGAAATTTTATCAATATTCAGTGTTGACCAGTCCTTATTGCTTTATAGCTGTGAAAGTTAGAATGTTTATTAACTCTTTCAAAATTGGTTTGTTTAAAAGTAGATTGTGTAAAGCATCTCTGTACCTACTAATGTTTCTGAAAACCTTGGGATTTCTTTTGCAAAGAATCTTTTATTTTAAAGATGGGGAAATATTTATTTGGTTGATTTAAAATTAAAAAAAAAATACTCATTTTATTTCAAAGAGAGAGAGAGATATCTTCTATCCACTGGTTTACTCTCCAAATGTCCTGAATAGCTGGAGCTGGGCCAAGCTGCAACCAGAAGCCTGGAACTGAATCTGGGCCTCCCCTGTGGGTGGCAGGGCCCCAAGTACTTGGACCATCATTGCTGTCCCCCAGGAAAGCCATTAGCAGAAAGGTGAAATTGGAAATGGGCCTGGGACTTGAACCCAGGCACTCTGGTGTGGGGTGTGCGTATCCCAAGCGGTATCTTAACTGCCATATCAATTGCCCACTCTTAGGATTCTCTTTATCTCCAGATGGAGTGATGTGTAATCAGTTGTTCAAAATGTTTCATTTTTGAGGGTAGATGTGGGCACACTTAATAGCTACGTGAGGATAGTAGGTATAAGACAAGGTAGCCCGGAGCAGATAGGGAGTTTATACAGCTCACATCTAAACAGTTATGTTCCTTGATTTTGGGTGCTTACTCACGTTGAGATTTCTTCATAGACAGTTTCATTTTTTAAAAATGATTCACTTATTTATTTGAAATTCAGAGTTATGGGGGCGGGAGAGAGATGGAGAGGAGGAGGAGGGGGATTGGAGAGATATTGAGACAGAGAGCGATCATTATGCTGGTTCACAACCTACATGGTCACAATGGCCAGGAGTGGGCCAGGCTGACGTGAGGAGCCAGGAGTTTCTTCCATGTCTCCCATATGGAATGCTTGGGAGTACCTGGGCCATCTTCTGCTGTTTCCTCAGGTGCATTACCAGGGAGCTGGATCAGAAGTGGAGCAGCCGGCACAGAAACCGGCACTCATTTGAGATAACAGCATAGCTATGCCACAGTGCCAGCCCCAACAGTTTCATTTTTTAAAGTTTTATCTTAGGTAGTAGGAAACTATTTACCACCATGAGGCAGCTTTAGGATCTGAAATGGAAAAATTTAACTTTTCATTTGATATTATCACAGTGCACTTAAAATCCTCGGAATCTTTGTAGTGACAAAATGTCTTGGCCAGTGGCTAAAGGCCTCTAGACATCCTCAGCATGGGAGACTGGTTGCCAGAAAGGAAAGCCAAGACCCAGAGACGGGGTGAACATCCAGCTGGTTGCCAGTGCTCAGTCATGCCTTGTGGGGAGCAACTCGGACTAGACTGTTACTGAAATTAAGACTTATTCTATGCATCTGCTCTCCCACAATATGGCGCTGGGAGAGGAGTAAACAGCTTCTACACAGCTGCCTTTCACCAACTTGACAAGCTGTAGGAGCTGCTCCTGATTGGAGGAGAGCAGCGTACTCGGCGTGTGGGTAGCAGAGTTGGGATTGGTGGAAGAGGACTATAAAGGAGGAGAGAGACAACATGCACCGGGAACATCTAAGGGGAACATCTATCTGAAGGAACATCCGAGCAGCCCCCAAGAGAGCCGGCCGGCGGTGTGCCGCTCCCCCGCGGAAGTGGGGAAAGTGGCAGGGGGAACCGCCCTTCCACGGAGGTGGAAGGGACGGTAGCCAACCCGGGAAGAACCAGCAGCAAACCCGGGGAGGGCTGAGCAGACAAAAGAACAGCGCAGGGTTTAGTGTCGTTCCTCCGTGAAGAGGGGGAGTGACAATGCCTAAGCAATGATGCTTCTATCAAGGAAAGTGTTCTGCCTTATGCTGCTTTCCGAAAGGAAACTGTCCTGGGGACTTTTGGAGAGCTGACCCCATAGGATGGTGCACCTGGACAGGACTTGGGAGCTCCAGGTTCCCTTCCCCATATTTTGCCTTATATAACTCTCCCACCTGACTATGCATCTGTACCCTTTGTAACACCTTTATAATAAGTGAGGAAACATAAGTAATATTTTCCCCCTGAGTTCTGTGAGCAGCTCTTAGTGAATCAATCCAGCCTAAGGAGGGGACTGTTGACATCCTCATTTATGTGGCATAGGCCACAGCCTGGGGCTTGTGATTGGCATCTGAAGTCTTGTGGGACTGAACCCTCAACCTGCAGAATCTGATGTTATCTTCAGATCGATACTGGCAGAGCTGAATTATATTTGAGGACATCCAGCTGGTGTCTATTGTTTGGTGTGTGGAGCAAAACCCACGATACAAATCGTGTCAGAAGTGATGTGTGAGAATGAAGGGGAAATACTTTACTTTTTCTTCTATCTCTTACTTTGATATTAAGATTTATCTTCCTCACTGGTGGAAACTTTTTAAATAGATTTTTTAAAAAGATTCATTTTATTTATTTGAAAGGCAGAGTTACAGAGAGAGAGAGGGTGGGGGGGGGGAGAGAGATTTACTATCCATGGTTTCACTACCCAAATTGCCGCGATGGCTAGGTTTGAGCCAGACCAAACCCAGG